CAAAAGGTCAGCCGACTTCGATTTATCTGAGCGAACATTTACTGAACATAACACCAGAGGTGAAAATTGTTTACGAATGACAGACAAAAGACAAAAGGCCACAAGGGTCTAATGTAAACGCGAAAAGTCTGTATAAAAGACAGTCAATATTTGTGCAATATAGTCTTTTCTAGAAGAAGCATTTGAGTTTTGCTGAAACTCGTTGGCAGATGAACACAACACTGTACCAAAATCGACGATAAGACTCGTAAAATGGGAGAAATTCATATTTGGAACCCCATGACTACCGGATTTATTATGTAAAATTGAAATTATGGAATTTCTGTCGCTGAGTCGTAAACGTTCCTCCGCGCGAAACGTCCCAGCGGCGAAGAGCGCGGAGAAACGGATGTTTTCGCAGGCTAACGCACAGGGGGACACGAACATGTTGCGATCTAGCACGTCTCCCATATAGCTTAATCATTCTTTACATTTGTGTCGACATTCTACTCATTCTCTAGATTTGGCCAAGTTTTCTCACGTAAAATTATTAAAATGTTAAATTACAAGGATTTTTCTCACAAGAGGTTAGTAACATAGGAACTTAATGTGCTATTCAGCTCTAGAGCATTTTCTATGTCTCGCAGCTCCGGCAAAGTTCACGGGAATCGTCGAGGCCAAGCAAACGAACCATTGAACAAGGCACCGTCATTATAGGGTTTAGAAATAACTCATACTTTACAAAGCGAAGAGAACTTTATCGAATGTTATCGATCTGCGAAAAAGCGAATCAAATTTATCGCTTCATATAGTGGTTTAAGGTATTACTGAGTATCATGATAAAGCCGCAGCGATATAAAATTCTTTACAAGGGAACGGGCGTTTTCGCCGAGAAACTAATCAAAACTTTTAATTCTTACCTCAGAGTAGTCATTTTTTTTAACCTTTCTTTCACTAACAATGAGAGAAATCTAGCATCCTCCCTTGATATTAGGCCGCATGGATTGGTTGTTGGGAACATCCACCACGCATTCTGATCTATTCTCGCAACGTCCAAATATAAACAATTCCCGAGAAAAAGAAACGGACGAGGAGGTGAAATGCCAGGTCCGCGCCAAGGCAATGTATTCCAATCAAAACACCGCGCGCGTTGTGGGGAGCCGAGTGATTTTATGTTCGTTAAAAGCGCGCAAACAAAATTATTCTGGCGGGGAATGAAGATTATCTTGCAATGAATGCTAAAACTTTAATACATTGAAAAGTCTCGCCATGACACGGGAATGTTTGCTCATTCAAGGAGCGTGAAACATAAAAATGGTATGAAGTGCCCCTCGAGTGCCCACAAAGCTTAGAACTCTACATGGTGCTGTACTTCCAGTAAAAACCCTCTGCGTCCTCTCATGATAATGCGACAAGATGTCAACTGAATAAACAAAGTTTAGATATATCGGCCATAAACCATATCGTTTTAGTAATGTTTACTTCTGTGAACATTGCTTTCACGCTTCGGCCGTTGCCACCGCAACAGATTAGACTTTTGCACCATGCAGTGTTATAAGGTGCCGACCATTTAACTCTTGCGGGGGGGGGGGGGGAATTTTTTTTCTAA